TCTTTCTTTGAATGACGTGATACAGCACATATTTCTGTGTGGAAATAAAAAAATTAAAACATTTTAATGAATAAATAAATGAAAGAAACAGAGACAAAACAATGCAACTTTGTGGTCACTTTAATCTGCAAATTGATGGCATGAAGTTGCAAAGACAAAAATAGCCAAAAAGTTGTGTAGTGTACATTCATTATTGTAAAATACAAAACTACAGTTTATTGGTTGAAATGGCAAAATTTATTTAGGCAGAGTCAACTATTTACTAGTAATGCATTGTAATGAAGACCAGTGTGTGTAGGGTATGTATACACATACACATATTTGTATGTGTATGCTTACACATACCTACTCAAATGGACAGTGTACAATATAGATGCATGCATCACTTTAAATTTTGTTGAGCTTCATGCAGACAATCTTATACTTGCTGTAGCATGCCATTGACCATTGGTTAACACTTATAATTGTGCAAGACATGATTAACAATTAACAGCATAACTTGTTCTAGCAAGCCACTGACACTGACAGTAACACTTATAACAAGCCAATGATTATAACTTCATGTCATGGGTTAACACCTATTGTGCAATACATTACTGACATCACAAGAGTACTACTATATAAAGACTAGGTTCCTTATTCACAGACATACATGTAGTGTTACCATTCAACAAGTTACCAACAAATAATCTACCAACTGATTAGGAACTGTAACTCATTCAACCACTAGTCTCTATAGTAACACACTATTGATGGATTCTCTCCCAGTTCCTCTTCTGATCCAGTGTCTCCTGTATTTAATAGGTAACTTGTTTGATGATGATAATTAAACCTATTGCTGGACTAGCATTACTACCTCATTCTATTCGTATCAAACTCCTCCTCCTTCTACCAGCATTAGATGTACATAAGTTGGAAGGTACATCAGTTACTGGTGATATATTAATGGATGAGATATGGGAGACACTTTACAAGAAAAGGACCTGTAACAATGACTGTTGGTCACTAAAGGGTCAGTCACTGGATGAGTTAATTTCTTTGTTCTCATGGAAAGATTTATACTTCAGTTACATGTATACATGTGATCATACTACATTTTATGAAGCTAATAAAGAATTGTCTGTATACTTTATTCATGTTAAGGAATCAGTCTATGATGATTACAAGATGGCAACGTTTTATAATGTTGTTTGGTGGAAATGCTTCGACCGAGTAACTACAAGAAAATATCTACACAATGCAGTTGTTTGAATAGTCATTTTAAGAGACGTAATTTAGTTGTCACGATGATTGACTTAAAGATTCCGCTGAAGATAATTATTGATAGAACACTGTCTAATTGCCATGAATTGATATCATTTAGTTGTGACATTGCAGTTAAGTTACTAGCATCTGTTGAAGCAATTCTTTTTAAAGATCCAAACAATTTATATGCTTCAGATGCAATAAAATTTCATGAAATTATTGCTGAATATGTGAACATGCACCTTTATTACTGGCTCAATTACTGGACTACCTTCAACAGCAATGTGACCTGAAGATACTAAAAGTGAGTCACTTTGATAGTAAAGATGCTGAAAAGTTGTAAAGCACCATAAAAATTTAGAAGTGGTCTCAATTACATCTATGTCTCAAACAAATGATAACATGATGACTTTATTCAATGAGCAATATGATCTCTTTTCATTATGTTATTTAAACCAATTAATTATTAAGTTTATTTCTATGAAGCACATATTTACTGAGGCTGTAGGTGTGCATGTTATGTCTGATTATTATTTTGTTATTTTCTTTCTCCTTCACTCCCTCTCTCTTAGTTAATGATAATCATGAGGTGTGGGTGTATAGTCATAGATATTATAGACTACATAACATACCAACATACCAGGGACATATATATTTTCACTGAATGATGTACCACCACCAGGTATGACTATAGTACATGTATCAACTGTTCCATATAACTTGTATATCTTTTAGATACTTGCAGTTCTGGCTGCTATTCTTGTAAGGCCAGACTTTTTCAGTCAATATGTGAGATCAGGAGGAGTAATGGCGAAAATGTACCAGCATCTTGTAATAACATTCAATTTTTTTTTTGTTTTTGTTTTTGTGATTTTATTATTTTCAGTAGTGAATTATCAATTTTAATACCAAACTAGAGATATAGTTGTTTTGTCATGGATTATTTTTAGTAACAATTTTTTGTAACAAATAAATGTCAGACAAGGAATTAAACAGATAAGTTGTATTATTATACTACTGGTGGTAGGTGTACATGTAATATCTATGGTATAGTGTATGAATAATGAATTCCTATTCCTAATATGGTAACAATGAATCTAATTAACTGATCCACAAGATGTCGACAGAGGAAGCTAAAAAGTGTTGGGCTGCTTTTAGAGAAGGAAATCATAATACAGCTGTTTACTTACTGCCATTAGTGAAGGAAGCTAATAAAATTAAAGGAAGATATTTAGTATGGAGTATAGAAAGAAAGTTAGTATGGGGTAATACTACTTTACTTCATTTGTCTTCAAGGCATGGCTGGTTAGATGTTACAAAAGATCTCATCACTAAATATCACTGTGACCCACAGGAAAGAGATGGTGGAGGTCGAACTTGACTTCATTATGCTGCACAAGGTAATCATGTTGATGTGATGAGATATCTCATTGATGAGTATCACTGTGACCCAATGGATACTGATAGGAATGAAGATACTGTTCTTCACAGGGCAGCTGATTATGGAAAGCTTGATGTCATTAAGTACCTGATCAATTATCATCACTGTGATCCAATGGCTACTAACAATGAGGGGGAGACTGCTCTTCATAAAGCAGCTGCTAAGTACAACTCACCTGATGTAATCAAATATCTAATCAATGAGTGTAACTGTGATCCAATGGCTGTTGACAGGAGGGGGTGGACACCACTTCACAATTCTGCTGATTGTGGTCATTCTGTAGCTGTTGAATGTTTACTATCAACTGGTAAATGTGATCCATTGGCTAAAGACAATGAGGGGAGAACACCATTACAACTAGCTCAAGAAAGGCAACAGAAAGGCGGGAATAATACTCTTCCTATTTTTAAAAAGTTTGGTGATATAAAATCATCTCATCCAATTGATTCTTATGTTAACGTCCTCCTTGTGGGTAATCCTGGAGCTGGTAAAAGTACTCTTAGTCATGTCATTAATGATACAGCTACTGGCCCTTTTGTTCTTGGTTCCTTTAGAAATGTTGGAGGGGTAGTGCCCTGTACTGCTGGCATCATTCCTTATAAACTACAACATAGGAAACTGGGTAACATCATTCTTCATGACTTTGCTGGTCATTCAGAATACTACTCAAGTCACAGTGCTGTCATTGAGAATCTATTACAAGGTTCTGGTGGTGTGTTCCTGATAGTAGTCAATATATTGGACAAGGAACCAGTCAGACAGCTTCATCAGTGGCTAAGTCTAGCTAGAAATGAAGCACAGAAAGCTCTTAATCAATGCCATGTTATTGTAATAGTCAGTCATGTGGATGAGATATTTACTAATCCTTTCGAAATGAGAAGGAAAAAGGAGGAAATAGAGGAGATTATTGTAAGGGAAAGGTGTGATAGTGTCTTCTTAGATTGTCGTAAGCTTGGTGGGAGTGGTGTGGATTCCTTCTTCAATAAGTTGTCTAGTGCCTGTGAGTCCATTCGTAGTACAAGTGGAAGGAATTTGAGTCTTTATTGTCACATGATGTATGGTTTACTGGAGGGGAGGAAAGAGAATATACTGACCCTCTCTGATGTAATGTCTGCTGGTAAGGACAATGATGATTACTTTATACCAGATAATAGAGAAGATGTCTTGGATGTTCTTGATTCATTACAGTCAACTGGTTTGATCAGTGTTCTTAAAAGTGAATATAAGGTACGGGTTGTTGTAAATAAGGGTATACTGCTAACTGAGGTGGATGGGATTCTCTTTGCTCCAGAGACATTCAAAGAACATGTTGACATTGCTAGCAATACTGGTATTGTTAGTGTGTCTGGTCTGACTAGACTCTTCCCTAAATATAATCCTCACATGTTGATCTGTTTCCTCAAGAACATGGAACTCTGTCAACAAATCAATCCATCTTTCCTAAGAATGACAAACCTCCATCAGTTAGCAGTGGAAGAGGAGGAGGAGGAGGGAGGGACAGAAAGAAGAGAAGAAAGGTTGTTGTTCTTTCCATGTCTTTTGTCTACTGATAGACCTGATGAGATGACTAGTCAAGTGTACCAGTTTGGTTGGTGTCTACAGTGTACTAGTAAACATCATTTCTTTCCTCCTCGATACTTCCATGTCCTCTCATTACGTCTTGCTTATAAAATGGCTCTACCTCAAGAAGATGACAAGTTAAATCGTTATTGTACATTTTGGAAGAATGGACTTTATTGGTTTAATGGTCATGGTGTAGGATCACTGGTAGAGATTGTGGATGAGAGCCAGTGTGTACTAGTAATGATGTCCTGTGAGAAAGGTTACAGTGACAATATGGTGTCTCTAAGAAGAGATGTGATAGGAGAGGTAATGAGTGTTTATAAAGAATCCTGTCCCAGTCTAGAGGTAAAAGAGTTAGTTATTGATCCTAAAGAACTAGCCTATCCTGT